TATATTATATTATATTATATTATATTATATTATATTATATATATGCAGAGTTTATTATTAAAACAAAAACTGTAAAGAAACCTGAAAACTAAATCTGGAGCTGCCAACAAACTTTTTAAATGTGACAGTTATTGCAACATGCTATACATTTCAATTAATGTCTTATCTATACCTGAAACACTACTCACTTGTCTGGCCTGCCAGGCACCTGCAGGCGTAAGCGACATTTGTTCGCACACTGGATCTGTTCTTCTTTGATGCGGATAAGCCTCTGCAGAGCCAGACACCAGTCCTGTGCAACAGTGGTGTTCAGGTTCTTTGATAACAAATAAAAAAAGAGACAAAGTTAAAACCTGCTGCACAGGGCCATCGAGCCTAGACCAGAACACACCGTCTGCAGACGCAGCACATGCACACCCTTTGAAAAAAAAACTGCATTAGTAGAACCAAAATTTTTAAATAAATAAATGAATGCACAATCCTGTCTCTTCCATCAAACATAACACTGAATTTATTTTAATACTGCATTCCGTTTTATAGAAAAACCTAGACCCTCAAGTCACATGGAATGAAATCAATTTTCCGCAGCAAATGAGCTGTGTAGAAGTATTTTGTCTATTTATTATTTTATTTATTTATTAGTTTTTTTTTCCTTTAGCGGACAGTATTATAACAGGGTGGAACATGAATATCAGCCCATTAAGTGCCAGGCCAGTATCACTTCTCCTGAGATTCTGTGCTCATTAAGTGCATGGAGGCAAAAGTGCAAGCATTAGAGAGACTCTGGTGATTGCTGAAGTACACCTCCCTCGGTGTGTTACTGTATGTAGTTTGCAGTGTTCGGTGGTGTAAATGTGATAGTGGCCGACTAGAGGGAAGCATTCTGACTCAAACACTACACGAAGGGTGCCGACACTTTTCCTCTGCAGCACAACAAATCTCACCGTCTGTCTTTTATATCAGTGGGAACATCTCATTCCCACCCTTGTGGCGCTATTGTAGGAGAGATGGATGGAAGGCTCTGTGCTTCTACAAATGAATTATTCAAAAAGCACATAAGGTGGTTCTTTGATCACATTTTAAACATCTCAAAGACATCTGTAGCCTCTTTAAAGAGAAAGGCACAAAAGTGGTGTCTCTAAATGATTAACTTTGCAAAATCCAAACTTAGTCTCTTAGCCTTCACTCATTTCAGTGTTTTATTATCACCTGCCGCTGACGGCAAAGGCAGAGCGGTGATGTTTTTTACCTACATCTGTGTGTGTTTTTGTCTGTACCATAAACAACGGGTTCATATGTCCAACTATGTTTTGGACTCAACCCAAATCATTAATGACCGCCACAGCCAACTGACCTTACAACTACCAAGCATTAATGGATGTTGTGAGATGATGACAGCTCTGTCATAAGATGATCTTGTACAAAACTCTGGCATAAAAGTCAGCAGGTGGTATGCATTCCTTCAAGGAAAGCTAAACCTTTCATTTTTTCCTGCGTTTTATTGTTTTCAACGCTTCTTCTGTAGTTCTTCAGTGCATTCCCAAAGCCTAAACACCACTGTGAGGGAAGCTTTACTTGGCGGATTGTACTCCACATTTCAAAGTTTTCAAATCAATCTCTCTAGATAACTTGATTATAAATAATGTATAATACTGAAAGCACTCTCGGCAGAGAAAAACTACAGCTTGAATGTCAGCTTCTGTGTGTGTTTTTTCAACAGCCAATTATAGCCTTCAAACAAAACTCTGAACAATCACACCTGGGTTGATATATGTGAACATAACACACTGAGATTTCACTGGATTGGTCCGCACACTTAGCTGGAATTAAAAAGCTATTCCTTTAGGCTTATTTGTGCCTTGGCATGTTCTAAAGTACACCACGGTAAGGTAGAGTAATATGTACCTGGTACGTCCCCTGCAGTGTTCCCACAAGCAGAGTAACCTGCTCGACAACTGAAAGGTCATATTGCAGTTCCTGCAGCTCCTGGTACAGCCGTGGAGGACCCAGAAGAGTTTTACCTAGGAGGTGGTCAACACATGAAGTGTAAGAGTTTCTGAAATGATGATAAATGTGAACAAATAAATAAATAAAAATAAACAGGACCCTTTTATTTAGTCATTAACTATTTTGATGTATATGCAAACACGTATAATGTTCTCAGTTTTATTTGCACCGTTTTTTTTTCACCCAAACAAAAATGTGAAGTTTTATCTTCCCAGTTTCCAGATGTTCTTTTTTCTTTTTTGTTTTGTTGTGTTTCTGCAATCAAGAAACCTCCCCCTGTTCTTTGTTTTTAATCCCACACTTACTGACCAACCTCAGCCCACCTATAGTGGTTGATGGAGCATCAAACTACTAAAGCCAAAAGTACATCTTGTGTGCACCTCCAACACAACACAGACTTAAACAGAAGAGCTGTATTCATGCAAGACCATGCTCGTATTCTTTTCCTAAATTTAGTGTTGTAGTACTTGAGACTGCTCTTGGTCTTAAGACCACTTTTGTATGGTCTTGGTCTTGTCTCGGTCTCGGACATTGAGGACCAGTCACGACCACAACTGTGGAAATATCCCTAAATAGCCAGATTATTGTACAATTTGTTTGTTAACATCTTTGCATTCATTGGATTTAAAGCATAATGATTCAAATCCCAAACCAAAGCAGTCCATTGCAGTTTGATAGAGGGGTAATCTAGCAGTGCAGAAACTTTTTTGATTTTTTTGAACACACCATATTTTAGGACAATAGTTTTATTTATTTTATTTTTTTCTGGTCTTGGTCTCGATTTAGTTCATGCCCTAAAAGTCTTGGTCTTGTCTTGGTCTCAAGACACTGTGGTCTTGGTCTTAACTTGGTCTCGGGTTAGGTGGTCTTGACTACAACACTACCTAAATTTCTCTTACATTTGTTCGTATGAAGGGTTTGTACGAACGTATCACGTCAGATTCAACAAACTCTTCTATCTTCAGGAAAAGTGTGTAAGTGAGGAGCGTAAACTGAATGCGTATCCAGCTGCTCGTGCACGAGGAGAGGTTATTAGTATAATTACCACCCTAAAAACACCAAATAAGAATATACGTTCCTGCCCCACAGACCAGGYAGTGTCCATTCATAAATGACATTGCAAAGTAAAAAAAACTTTACGAGTTCAGGGATTGAAYTCCTACTCTCAGAGATCCAGAAAAGAAAATCTGTAATTTTTAGCAGTGTCAGCTGTGGAATTAAAGGAGCTGCTAAAGTAGATGAATGAAATAATGACTTCTGTTAATTCTGTCTCTCGTGGGTTGAGTACAGTCACAAATAAAAATCTAAATCATTTGTGACACATCACATCGAAATGAGGAATAAGTCAAATTTGGTCAAAATGGCCTAATCATATGTTTAGATTCCTGTCTTTAAAAGCTACATTTTACACTTAGATCATCCTGATATCATTAGTAGATCCAGAGATATTATTTAATTTGTCTTGTTGGTTACAATAATACATAAATATTTGGTCTAAATCCTAATTTTATGTAATTTTAATGAAGATTTTTTTTACGTCATTTGAAAAAAGAAACCTCAAATAGTATTTGAATATTGACATTTCCCAGATGGAAATAAACAAAACCTTTGATAGCTCACAGGGAAAATCTCAACATTGTGAGGTGTTTTTCATCAAAATAGAGTTTTTGGTTGCTACTGCTCAAAAAAGGGCTTCAAAAAAATTTTTTAGGATAATATTTCACACAGTTCATTGAAATGATACAATGATAACACATTTTTTGAGTTTCATTTTCTGTCTATGTGTGGGTGTGAAATGACACACACTTGACAACTTTCTGTTTTAAATCCAATTTAATCCTCCAAATTTCAGTCATTGAGACCATTTTGACTCTAACTATAATCCAGTTCAAATCACGGAAATCAGATTCACTAAACTAAGACCTATACAATTAAAAGTTTTAGGTTGTCCTCCAAAGTCTTAACACAGTCATCATTTCTAAAAATCCTTGACTGATCACCAGCGAGGCCATCCTGATGAAGCTGGGAGGTTCTTGTAGTTAATTTTCAGTGGAGCCACACTACCAGACACAGGACAAGGCTGGTCTCCATGGACAACCAACAAATCTCATCCAGAGCAGAGATTTTTTTTAAAGAGTGCATTTGATAAAAGGGAACTTAAAAACCGAAGCAAGACTTCCAATCTGAGGGTCAACTGCAGAAAACTTGTAATTGCTCCATCTCATTGCTGTCATTACAACTAAAAGCTTTGACATAATTACACTGAATCTCTAAAGACGCAGCACTTTTGTGATAACCCAAAAATAAAACCAAAATTGTTACAATTTTCCTGAGTTTTTCTTTAGCACACATACAAAAAATATATATCATGTTGCCACTCTAAAATGAAGTCATGAATTATAAGATTTTAGCAAGTGAATGGAGTGGCCAAAACATGAACATGTGATAAACATCACAAAGAACAACTTTACTGTTTGTGCTTCAAACTGTGTGCTTTTAGCATAATTTGTTCAAAATTTTAATGATGATGACACTGTGCATAACCACTGTCATCATAAATAATCTTGAGATCAAAATTAATTTATTAAAACGTACTCATTTTGAGCATTAATAACTCAGGGTCATGAATTAATCTCATTTTAATGACTTAGAATGTTGTGGAAATGTAATTTTGAGGATTATATTTGATCTCACAGGGGGTCCTTCACGCAGTTTCCATCTTTTATCTCTTGTTTATGTTTACAACCAAGGAACGGCACATTTTAAATAGAAAAAAAATCACTTTTAAATTCAAATTAGAATCATCATTGAATTGTATAGTTTAAGTCCTAAATTAAACTAAAGGTCACAATTAAGCTCAGCCCACACATGTGAAATGAACCTGGTATCAGCTAATCAATCAGTGCTTTTTCTTCTCTTTCCCTCATCTGCTGGTGAATGCCACGCAAAGTATTCCAGTGAAACTGCTCCAGCCTCTCCTGCTGTCTACATGTCAACCCACAAACATTCCAGTTCTTTCTTTCCTAAGCTTTGTCTGACTTGGCAAGGATCATTTCTTTCATTGATGTTGCTCTGATTTGCACACTGTTTCTCTCTGCATAAATTTTACTGGAAATACTTGAACTGTACAATGTTTTTGTACTGTTTTACCAATAGTGCATCTATCAAAAGAGAGATTTTAGTTTTGTTTGATTACAATAAATGGTTCAGTAATTTCACTTGACATTTTTTTATTAAATTATCCTGTTAAATGTTAGAAATTTTTTGACAGTTGGCTTGATGTGTATTCTGTAACTGATTAACTGAATTTTAGATACTGTTTTGTAACCTTTACTTTGACTGGGTCTTAATTCATGGGCTGCACCCTCATGAGTACGTAGCCCACCAGGGCCACATCCTTAAACTAAATCTTATTGCAGCATAAATTTTATCAGCTAAGTTTCTAAAGTGACATTAAAAACTAATTATTCGATCCGTGATGAATTTCCAACCTGTCAATTGGTAAAAAATAAACTAGGATAACCCTAGGATAGCCTCGGAAGGATGCTTGGACGCAGCCTTGATTTTCGAGATTTTGTGGGCTGCATTCCTCGGCTGCATGAGGAGAGGCCTTTGAATTGGGACACAGCCTTTGTGTTTAAACGCAGTTGTTTGCTCTAAACAGGAAGATAATCAACAAGTCTTTACTTAAAGGGACAATATTATGTGTTTCTCAGGCATATATTTAAATTCTATACCATAATAAAGTAACTATGTCACCTTCAGTGGTTAATAACATGTTGTTTATGTGTTTAAATAGAAAATAAACTTTACTTCTCATCATATCTGTTTCTAAACACCTTGAAATTGGTCTCTGTCTCTTTAAGAACCTCCTTCCCCTTCTGTCCCGCCCATTTCAGCAAGGGGCCAGGTGTTTTTTGTTTTGTTTTTTTTTTTTTTGCTTTTTTTAATGAACCAACATAACAGTACATATATTAACGACCATTCTAAATTACCTATTTTAAGTAATTCCTCCTTAACATCAAATTATAAAACTTTACCAAATTACCATGAATATTAACCAAGTAAATTAACTATCTTAGAAATATTAGAAGTAAAAAAAAAAAGAAAAAAAATTAGTTAATAAATAATTAAAATAAAAATAAATAAAACTTCAACAACATTACAAATAACAAATATTTTATTTAAGGGAAACACACGGGGTCAGGTGGGTGTGTGTGCTCTGAGATGAGGAAGCTCAGCTTGAAGACACAGCCCAGAGGAGGAGATGATCCCAAAAGGTGGTTCTAGTCCCGTAAGATGAACCGCCCCCAAGGGGTGTGACCAGGGTTTCAATAAGTATCATGAGTTTGTGTGATTCAGGGCCATTTTGTTTTAGACTCTAACACAAGGGCAAGCTTTGGCATGAGATGGAGTCTTTAACCTGAAAGTAAACATTTAACCGAGAACCTAATTATTATTCGGGCATTCAATTTGAACATTCTCTTACAGGCTTATTAAAAGTACTTATCAGTTCCATGAATGCAAACAGCTTTACGTACATTAAAAATACATGTTTTGTGAACTAAACTGCCCTGAAGTGGATGCATAATACAAAAAAAAAAAAAATAGCCCAAGGCCTATGTTTTTCATGATCTGGAAAAAAAAAACTAAGGCAGTGTCAATGGGAACAAAGGGAAAGTGTCTTTGGTTGAAACTTCCGAAGGCACTAATGAAAGAGGTTTGATGTGTAGATGGATCGATCTGCATTATTTGTTGAACTACAGCGAGTGGATTTATGAGTAAAAAAATAAAAAAATATTAGAAGGAGAAACTGTTATTTGGAGCCARGATGCCCTTTGCAGGCCAAAAGGAATGCAGGTGTCTCATTAGACACAAAAATTCAGCATCGATTTGAGGCCCGCTGCCTTCAAAGTCTTTCTCTCCCAGTGCAAAGAATCAATAAGTGTGTCTCCTCCCATCTGCTGTCCTCCGTCCTGGCTCCCCTGGCCTACATTTCTCCAGCGCCAAGCTCCACGAGGACGGCCTAATTAAATTCTGCAGGTAGATTTCGCTCCAGAGCTGTCCTGCACTGTCACCGCCGCCACATAATAAAGTAGCAGAAGAGCCGAGCGGGTCGGCGAGCTTAGTGAGGCGTGCTCATCCGACGGGACCTGCAGCTGTTTGGCTATTCACACGCACAAATGCAGTGAAAGCAACGCCATAAGAGGAACGAGGGAGAGAAAAACGAAAAGAGGGGCTGGTATTATTCATCTAAAGAGCTCCACTGTAGCTTTTGGGGTTTAATGGGATCTTTGACACTGGCACACAGTGGCATCTGTCATCTGTGCAAGGAAATCAATAGGTGAGACATCTGAATATAAAGAGGACTGCTGTGAGCAGAAAGAACAATGTCTGACTGTCTTCTTCAAAGGGATTGCCTGGACCCCTGCGCAGGTTTGCCGAGCCTTCCCGGGCCCGCTGCTGGCTACAGCCCAAGAGGTGAATGTGCTGAGTTGTAATCCAGTATAATCCCATTGGTGAGGCAGGATATGGTTTACACACTAAGACACGACTATCCGCACTGGCCACCAGGCACATAATTCATTGATGTGGAAGGCCTCGGCCCAGAAGAGTCCATCTCTGCACTCGCAGCGGTGCCAGTGATGCTATAGTGGCTTTAAAGACAATGCAGCTTTAACACTTGTATCAAAACCCTTGTCTGATCCGCAGCCAAAGCCCACTGCTGCACCACTGGCAAAAAAAAAAACAACAAAAAACGGCATTTCTGACTCTGGGTCATGAGGGAAAGTGGTATAATGAAGGTGAAAGGAGGTAAGACAGTATAAAAGAATAAACACCTGGCACAACTGGCTTTCAGAGAGACGCTGTTTGGCCTTCCGTGAAGACAGAGAACAATACAGACACAGGCAGATGGAGAAGGGATGAGTGAAACAGACAGGCTTGCCTAAAGGCAGGTACAAGGGCCTGCAGAAGGTGAAAAATGTTTCAATTTTAAGCCGTGCTGAGGAAGGAAGGGGTTTCAACAAGACGCCCCACTGAATGACATCACAAGGGCATATAAATAAACGGTTCTGCCAGTCTGATTGAAGATTTAGGAATCTGCCCCACAGATGTGCGTGGAGGTTTCAGGAAAAACGCCGTACCACGAGGGGCAAACGAGGAAGAGCAACGGTGGCGGGGGATGTCAGAATCAGAACTATGTGGGGCACGGCGTTTTTGGAGTTTTACAAACYTGCGCAGAAAGGTGCAAAAAGAACTCATCTTAAATGATCCCAAAGCCTCGCCTGCAAAGGCGTGAGGATGTGAGCACACACGACCCGAACAAAAGAAAGAAACTAAATCCAGCGAGAATACAAACCAGCTCTCAAAACAGCCGCTGCCTTCTGAGCACGACACGGGGAGCACTGAAGAAGGCACGATTAATATTTCAGTCATGGAGCAGCAACTTTACAAAGTGTGCTGCATTACATCCTGATAAGGCTTTGTATCTTCCTTTTCCCATGGCACATTTATCAGGGATCTCGTCAGGCTGTGTACACCGGAGTTTTGCGAGAGGTGGTGGGAGAACTAGTGTTTCAACCACAGATTCCTATCTACAGCTACTGGCTCTCTAATTGGGCTTAGAAAGGCAGCGAATAATCTCTACAGATTGATGACTCCTCTCTAGACATGTTTGTGGTCTATCAGAGAGTGAAATGAGACCATGAGGATGATGCAGCTCGAGGCTCACTACACCAACATCACTCTCCAAGATAAAACACCCCCAGGCTGAGGGGAACAAGTGACCATCATCGCTATCCTCCTCACAAACACATCCTCAATCAGAGTGACAAGCAGCACAGGCTGCATCCCCTCCCTTCCACGAGATGCTTGGGAACGGGGACAGATTAGCCTTGCTGAGTCAGAGGAAGAGGCTGAGACCGGCAGTCAGTTAAAGGGACGAGATTAACTAGAGGGTGACAGGAGACAAATATTGAGAAAGCACAGAGATGTATATTTGTTTTACCTGAATTGCAGGCACCACTTGGCCTCTTGGCCCCACTTTGTTGAAACAAGTCTTTGCTTTGAGAGCTCTCCTGCCCAACTTCCACCACCTGCACGTGCTGAAGGGGCGCGCTCCACTTCATGGTGTACTTGGGGCCAACGGGGACGATGCTGCTGATATCTGGAGGCCCCCTAAAGGGAATACAAAGAACAGGAATGAAGAAAATTATTGGGGTTTAGGTTATATACTGATTTTTAATTTCATACACATGGTATAGTCTGCAAAAACTGTCCATCTAACCAAGTTTTAAAATCTTATATCAGCCAAAAAGTCTTTTTGATCTTGTTTTGAGACTGATTTACTAAACAAGAACTGATTGTGTAAGAATAATAATCTTGGGTCTTTATTCCCATCCCGTTCCC